TTTTTTTTTTTTGGAGTCAGAGTCTTACTCTGTTGCCCAGGCTAGAGTGCAGTGGCAGGATCACAGCTCACTGCAGCCTCGACCTCCAGGGCTCAGGCAATCCTTCTGCCTCAACCTCCCAAGTAGCTGGGACTACAGGCACGTGTCCTGATGCCTGGCTAATTTTTTGATTTTTTTGTAGAGGCGAGGTCTCACTATGTTGCTCAAGCTTGTCTCAAACTCCCAGGCTCAAGCAATCCTCCTACCTCTGCCTCCCAAAGTTCTGGGATTACAGGCATGAGCCACTGCACCCGGCCTGGACTAGTCGTCTTTGAAAGCATTAGGCGATTCTTATTCCTTCACTCTGCAGAGATGTATTAAGCGCCTCCTCTTAGTCAGACACTGTGGTGCAGGCTGCGTATAATTTGATTTTTGGAACTAGCCAAAAGTCACACAAAGGCAGATCTGTTAACTGAGCTGGGTAAATGTCCAAGAACAAAGAGTGAATATTAATCCATAAGATGAGGTTTCTCGTGAGTCTCCTGGACTGGGACCCAATGCAGTTCTTGAGGAGTTCTGAAATGTTTTGAGTGATGACAGGTATATCCCTGTGAGGTGCGCGCTGCAGACACCGGTGGCTGTGTGGCTTCTGTCACGTTGTCTCAATGACGTTCTTGTCACCTTACAGTACGACTGCCTCATCACTTCATTAGGATACCTTCTGTGGTACTTATTGGAAGCTCACCATCCATGGACACATGCTTCCGTGACTGGCCCCATGGCACGGACACTTCCCCACGGGGCTCGCTAAGGCCCGGTATCTGGGGACCCTGAGAACGTGAGCCCTAAGCTTGGTCCTGAGGGTTAGGATTTGAACTTCACCTTGTTGTGCATCAGCATGCAATGAGTGGCTTTTGTTCCTTCGTCAAATATTAACTGAGTGTCCACTCTGTGCTTGGGATACAAAACCAAGATTCTGGGCCTCACGGAGCTTGGATTCTAGTGAGTTTTACTAGTTTCTCCAGGTCTTCCTGGCCCTCAGATTACAACATACAGACTAGAAAGTGTCTCCTTTTAGGAGTTATTGCAGACTGAAAAGGCTGCAGGCTACAATCTTGGCATCTGTTATTAAGAGACAGCCATTCCAGCCGGGCATGGTGGCACATGCCTGTAATCCCAACACTTTGGGAGGCCAAGGCAAGAGCCCAGGAAGTTGAGGCTGTGGTGAGCCATGATCATGCCACTGTACTCCAGCCTGGGCAACACATCAAGACCCCAGCTCAAGAGAGAAAGAGAGAGAGAGAGAGAGAGAGAGAGAGACCGGCCCATTCCTCACTGTGAAAGGGGAGGGTTCCCCACTTACACACTGATTTAACAAGTCTACAGAGTCAAGGACTGTTTACCCTCTCAGAACCCTTTTTCTCCGCTTGTTCATGGTCAGGTGGGTCTGGCAGGCTGTGAGGAGTGAGAGTGCTGTATGCCCAGGTATGCACAGGAGGCTTCAGTGCAGGACCGCTCATACCCCCACCAAGCTCCTGAGCTTTTAACACCCAGGCTGCAGTCTGGTGTATAGAAGCAAGTGGGAGCACCTAGCCAAAGCGGACGACGGGATCAGATAGGATGAATTCAGCAAGAATAAGGAGGCTGGACTCACGTGAATGGGCCCTGCCTTGGGACCAGTTCCAGCTTTAGACGCAGTTCTGAAACCTCCTGTCTCCACGCCCTCCCCTTCTTCCCCTACCAGACTCTGAATCCCCTGTTGGAACTGGGGACACCAGACAATCACAGAGCACCTGTGCTTTGCAAGTGGCATCTTGCATGGCTGTCAGTGTTCAGAGCAGAGGAATCAACAGAGGGCAGGCGAGTCACCTAGACACTGTCCCGGCCAGGGCAGGTGTCAGGCCTCATGAATTTCCTGGGCACTGTTGATACGGCAGGACAAGAAGCCTTTTGTAGACAAAGGCGTTGCTGGAAAGCCCACAGGAGTGGAGCGGTGTTTGGGGACCAGCCTTGCTGTTAAGCGGGAAGGCAGACATCCCAGCAGCAGCCGGGTGAAATCAACCTGGGCAGACTCTGGGGGCGGCTCGTGTTTTCTAGCACTTAGCTTTTCGTTAACACCATCTGCCCCGAAATAGAAGAAAAGAAGGTTTTGTTCAGATGCAGGCAGAATGTTCCCACAACAATTCTTTCGATCTCGTTTTTAAAAATTAATTCTTTCCTGTTTGAAAATTCAGGGATTGCATCAGGCAGTCAATGGCCTGGGATGGTATTACCACAAATTCAAGAAGGATTACGTCAGAGCGGCCAAGTACTGGTTAAAAGCAGAAGAAATGGGGAACCCAGATGCGTCGTACAATCTTGGAGTCCTGTATCTGGACGGCATTTTCCCCGGAGCTCCTGGAAGGAACCAAGTGAGTAGGACCCGAGACTAGCTCTGCAGCTGGCCAGGTCCTCTGTCAGGCAGCGTTTATTGACGACGCACTGGGTGCCTAGCCGGGACCACATACTGTCATGGGTAGAGACACAACCCAGACTCAGTCCCTCTCCCCAGGGAGCTCAGGGGCCCAGGTAAGAAGACAAAATCCTGAAAAGCAAAAGATGGCATCTAGCCAAATGCCACGTGTATGATGAATGACATGAGCCAACAGTTCTGGAGAGGTGCAGCACTGAGGGCCAAAGCAGTCAGGAAGGCTTCATGGAGGAGGGAGGCTCGCACTGCGGGAGGGTGGGAATGAGCTTGAGATGGTGCAGAGAGTGATCTCACTAGAAGCAAAGAGGGCTGAGTCCAGATAGGGTTGCCTAGTGTGGAGCCAGATCTACTAATAATGAAAACAGCTGGGCAGGGTGGCTCATGCCTATAATCCTAGCACTTTGGGAGACGGAAGCAGAAGGATCACTTGAGCCCAGGAGGTCAAGACCAATGTGGGCAACATAGTGAGACCTTGTCTCTGTAAAATACCCAAAAATTAGCTGGGCATGGTGGTGCATGCCTGTAGTTCCAGCTACTTGGGAGGCTGAAATGGGAGGATCACCTGAGCCAAGGAGGTCAAGGCTGCAGTGACCCATGATTGTACCACTACACTCCAGCCTGGGCAACAGAGTGAGACGCTGACTCCAAAAAAAATAATAATCATGATGATGGGAAGAATAACCCGAGGTCTATTACATTATACCAAATTTATTGAACTCCTACCCAATGTCAGGCTCTCGTCTGGGTACTGGGGATACAGCAGCAGACAAAATAGTCCCTGCTCTTATGAAGCTTTCATTGGCAGCGAGTGGGGGGACGTGGAGACAATAAACAAACACGTATGTCATATATAATATAAAGGCAGGTGGAGAGAAGTATTACGTGGAGAAATAAAACAGGATAAGGAGATTCAGGGATGCTATTTTATAAGGAAGACCAGGAGTCCTCTCTGATACAGTAACATTGTATAGATTAGAGTCTTGCAGATATCTGGTAGAAGAACATTCCAGAAGAAGGGAGCAAGCCAAGGCAAAAGCCCTAGGAAGAAAGTAGGCTTGGCATGCTGAAGGAGCAGCAAGGAGATCATGGGAGCCAGAGCAGAAGGCAGGAGAGGAGAGGAGGGTGGGGGAAGAGGCCAGGGAGGAGGCTGACCAGGTCCCTGTGAGAACTGGCTTCTGCTCAAGGGAGAGGGAAACCACCAGACAGCGCCGACTGGATTTCAAAGGGCTCCTCCTGTGTCCTGGTGGAAACTACCTGAGGAGAGAGGAGGGCGGAGCAGGGGGTCATGCCTGGATCCAAGTGAGAGGGGGCAGTGGGCCAGACCAGGGCAGGATCAGTGGAGGGGCCAAGATGGGGCTGGGTTCTACGTGCATCTGGAAGGTCGAGGCTACAGGGTTCGCTGAGGGATTAAATGTGGGTGTGAGAGGTAGATGGGGCAGGGGATGACTCCGGGGTGTTTGGCATTTGTTGGGATGGAAGAATGAAGATGGTATTCATCGGGAGAGACGAGGTCATGGCAGCAGCAGGTTTGGGGGTTGGGGGAGAATTGGAAGGTGGTGCTCTGTGAAGGTTTCCCTCGAGAACGAGCTATCTCATTCAATCCTTACAACCGTCCACTCAAGGTACTATCAGAAGTCACATTTTTCAGTGGAAGAAAATGAGATTTGGAGAGATTTACCGACACATCCAAGGCTACCCAGCTAGTAGGAAGCAGAGCTGGGATTTGAATCCAAGCCTGCCTAACTAGAAAGCCAATGCTTTTAAAAACAGTCATTGGCCGGGCTCGGTGGCTCAGCCTGTAATCCCAGCACTTTTGGAGGCCGAGGCGAGTGGATTGCCTGAGCCCATGCGCAATTTGAGACCAGCCCGGGCAACTTGGCGAGACCTCGTCTCTATAATAAATCAAACAATTAGCTGGACATGGTGGCACATGCTTATAGTTCCGGCTACTTGGGAGACTGAGGCAAAGCTCAGCTGGTCAAGGCTGTGGTTGCCGTGAGAGCGCCATTGCACTCCACTCTGGGCAATAGAGTGAGACTCCGACTCTAAATAAATAAATAAATAAATAAATAAAAATAGCTCATTAAAAAACAAAAATAAATAAAAACGATACTTAACAGCCTCAGAAAAACAGTAGAAATCAGTGGAATGTACTCGTCCCAGTGGTTGTCTTGTTTTTTTTTTCCCTGGCCTCTCTTTGATGACATAGAAGGCTGTATACGTTTATGCATTGCAAAGGTCTAGTAACCCTCCCAGCATGTCTGCGCATGTGAATTCTTATTGTCATATTCTAATTCTCACCTTCCTGCTGGAAATGCAGTTTTAGTGGGAGTTTGAAGAAAGGTATCAAGCAATGTTAGCAAAGCAAGTGCCTGGTTTTCGGCTGGTGTGACTTCTGATACAGTTTCCATCTAGCCTGTAGGGGTTATGTGAGGATCAAATGAGATGGCAATGGAATTCGTAGTCACATGTCATCTTATTTAGATAGGGTAAACTTAATCAACAGAACACCTTGAGGCGAGGTCATATAACCCAGAAGCCGGCCCCTGTGATTGGCTATCTTCCCAGAACTGTTGCCTGCCCTGGTTTCTTAAAGCTGTCAGAAGTTCTAAGCCAGTGATCACATCAGGCTTAAGGTGTCTCACAGTCTTGTCTCTGGTGAAACTTGGTCCAGCCAAGAGGACTCGATGCGTGTTCATCTCTCTTTACAGACTTTAGCTGGTGAATATTTCCACAAGGCTGCGCAAGGTGGACACTTGGAAGGGACCTTGTGGTGTTCTCTCTGCTATATCACTGGCAACCTGGAGACATTCCCTAGGGATCCTGAGAAAGCCGTTGTGTAAGAAACTGTCAAATGTTCTCTATGAAGGGGAAGCCATATTCTGTACTGACTGTAGCATTTTTTAAAAATTGAGTTTTTGAGCCGGGCTTAGTGGCTCAGCCTGTAATCCCGTGCCTTTGGGAGGCTGAAGTGAGTGGATTGCCTGAGCCTGCGGGTTCGAGACCCGCCTGGGCA